CTTCAGGCATCGATTCACGCCATACTAAATATATCTTCGGCCATTATTAATTATTCATCTTATAATGTGTATTTTCTCACCTGACATGACGTTAGCAATTGTGTCAAGACCAACATAATCGCAAAGGGCTAGCGGTCCCATTGGACAGGACGTACCGTAGCACATAGCTAAATAAACATATTTAGTGTAGAGATAAATTTGTAAGATAGATGTTTAATCCAAAGATCATTTTATGACTACTTAACAGAATCTTGTCTCATTTTTAATTAGGGATCACCACTCTACTGTGAAGGGCATTTGTTTTTGTTATGCCTCAGTTTTACGATTAAGAAACAAAAGTCTGGAATAATGGCTAAAGACTCCCGAAACTTTCTCAAAATACCAGAACCACTGTGAGCCAGATTATTCTATACTTCTTCTAATCTTTAATATTAAAGATTCTTTTCTTGCTAGTTGCATGAAAATATCTTTGTATTCTAAAAATCACCTGCATCTATATCCTCCTTGGTAGCGTCTCCTCGTTCAAGCATTCGTATGCTGTCGATAAGATACGGTACAAGAAGTCGATTTACAATGAACCCAGGAGTGTCCTAGAGGAAGAAATCTGCTTTTCGATTTTTCTTTTGATAGAACAGCATGAAATTTGGCGAAAAACTAACCTTACAAGAAACTGGTCGCTTTCCAAGTGAAATGCAGAACTGCATCAATTTCGTGTGCGTTTCTGTGGAGGTATCAGGTGTACTGACCACCTCCACCAATTTCATAAGTGGTACGGGATTGAAGAAGTGAAGTCCAGCGAATCGAGAATGATCTTGAATGCATGGAAGTAGATCAGATAGTTGAATTGATGATGTATTGGTGATCAGAAGTGCATTTCTAAAACAATCCCGATTTAGAGACTAACTCTGGAAGCTGAAGCTCGTAATTTTTATTCATAAAATTATCTGGAAGCTCACGGTGGACAGAACTGCTGAGCTTCAATAAAAACTTCGTCTTTGACGCTTCTCTTCTCGACGACAGCCTCAATCACATAATCAGCTCCAGAGACTGCGT